GTTGCCTGTATTAGGATCCGGGCTTACGACTCAAGGCGCAGTCTCAGCCCAGATCCTCATACGGGCAACAGCGCTTCGACACCGAACGCTGATTGGTGAAAAACGGGTGGTGGGAGTAAATTTTAGCCCCACAACCGGCTTTTCACCAATCAGTGTTGTGTGTCAAAGCCATAGACATATAAGATAGACCCAGCATCTATAGTACATGTTGGGGTTTGGCAGAACGGTGCGAGAGGCAAGATATCGGGGCAACCTGTCCTTCTCTGCGCGTGCATCTTGACATTCTTGACAAAATCAAAATGGCTGACTACGTTAGGATCGTCTGGATTCTTTGCCCATTGTGTTACTTTGCGTCACCCAGTATTTCTGATGGGCAAGGAAAAAATATTCTGTTACGCTTAAATGAAGCATATGTTGTACGTATTGTATGCATATACATAAGTAGAAGTTAAAATGTTTTATTTACCTCTGAATGAATATTTTTTCCTGTTTCAAATTTCTTTTGATACCCACATGCGTTGCACGTCTCCATATTCAATTTTTTTTACAAAAGAAACAATACTAACAGTTATTAATAATAAGTGCAAAGAATACAGATAATTCTAACGTAGGCAGCCATTTTGATTTTGTTAAGATTGTCAAGATGCGCGCGCAGAGAAGGACAGGTTGCCCCGAAATTTTCCTCTCGCACCGTTCTGCTAAACCCAGCATATACTATAGAAAAGTATACGGATGCTGGGTCTATCTTATACGTCTATGGTCTATGCGTACTACACTCTGCAACCAATCAGAAAACAGGATTCCGATGATACGAAGCAAAATCCATCGGAATCCTGTTTTCTTATTGGTTGCAGAGCGCTGTAAGACGCACATCGGATGCAGTGTGAATCCAGCAATAGGGTGCGTTCCGTTTCACGCATGAACCCAAGAAGACTAGAACCAGGAAAGTCAACTCGGCGTAAAAGCGGTAGTGGGGGTGAGGCAAGAAGTGGAAACGAACGACACCCCCCACTCTTGCGCTTCATCCTCTCTGTTGCTCTACATAGTCGGTTTCAATTCGTGACTGCGCATGTCAACGTTGAACGTATTTTGTTTCTGTTTGATTGAATTTTGAACTAAACGTAAACCGTGTAAAAATTTAATCCGATTTACGATGCCCAAGCGAGTGTGCTGTGTTCGAAATTGTGATTTCAATCCTGGAGATAAAGAAAATCGAAAAACAATATTCCAATTTTGTGAGGTATGTATTGATGAAATGTAATCTAGAGAAATGTACAAAAATGTGATTTAATAATTTTGTCTGACATTTGTATACATAACAGTTATATTAAACCTCAATTATTATATTGCAGAAATCTCCATACTTCAAAACATGGATGAATGCGATTGGACCAAACTTGAGAGATGGAAAGAAAACTCGCAAAAATTATTACATTTGCGAACGACATTTTGATGACGGTAATTTACATCGAATTCCTATGAATATATTAAAGGATGGAAAAGAGGTGACCCTGTTACGTAGACGCCCAATGTTAAAATCGACAAGTGTCCCATACATTTTTCCAGTAAATATCAAAGTCACATGTGATCTATGGCGTTGTTGCATATATTTTTCCAGATAATAATTGAGCACTTGATGTAACCAAAAATTTATTATTCAGGGTTCAAGGCTTATAGATTCAAATAATCTTGAAAGCTCCTCGATTATAGATTCAAATAATCTTCCAATGGAATGCACTTTAGAAAATGTAAATATCAAAGTCACATGTGATCTATGGCGTTGTTGCATATATTTTTCCAGATAATAATTGAGCACTTACATCGACGCCATATTTTTAAATTAAAAAATTTACACATATAGTTTAAGATGTAATAAATATATAGTAAAAATTTGGAAGCTCTGTATTTTTTCATTTCGCAGCAAAAAATGCAAAAAAACCTTAAAAAAAACGGTCGTCACACGGGATGACCCTCTTAAACCTCAATTATTATATTGCAGAAATCTCCATACTTTAAAACATGGATGAATGCGATTGGACCAAACTTGAGAGATGGAAAGAAAACTCGCAAAAATTATTACATTTGCGAACGACATTTTGATGACGGTAATTTACATCGAATTCCTATGAATATATTAAAGGATGGAAAAGAGGTGACCCTGTTACGTAGACGCCCAATGTTAAAATCGACAAGTGTCCCATACATTTTTCCAGTAAATATCAAAGTCACATGTGATCTATGGCGTTGTTGCATATATTTTTCCAGATAATAATTGAGCACTTGATGTAACCAAAAATTTATTATTCAGGGTTCAAGGCTTATAGATTCAAATAATCTTGAAAGCTCCTCGATTATAGATTCAAATAATCTTCCAATGGAATGCACTTTAGAAAATGTAAATATCAAAGTCACATGTGATCTATGGCGTTGTTGCATATATTTTTCCAGATAATAATTGAGCACTTGATGTAACCAAAAATTTATTCTTCAGGGTTCAAGGCTTATAGATTCAAATAATCTTGAAAGCTCCTCGATTATAGATTCAAATAATCTTCTAATGGAATGCACTTTAGAAAATATTTTTAACACAACGGTTTTACTAAAGGAATGGAATGCAAGACCTTCTTATGAATCCATGGGGTCATGGGGTGTGACAAAAACAACGTGTGGATTACTTTTCATACTTTTAGAAAGCACTTCAGAACAATGTAGCAATACAGTACAGCGTTCTTTACTTGTAAAGAATGACATGACTATCGAGGTATCTTAGGACTTTTATACATTACAAGTTTTTTTGTATATGAATTTATCTGCCTGTACTATTGCTTATTTGATTTGTTTATTTCAGTTACATGCTTATAATCATCCTGTCACTTATCATCTTTTGGAAAAGATGACGTGTCTACAAGATATTTATTTTTTATTACGAAAAATAAGTGCAATGAAAATGTGTCAAGAAGAGTCCTGCACTATTGGGTACTTTGAGCATAATCTACTTTCACGATCCAATCTTTGTAAAGATTGCCAATTAAAGAACAAAAGAAAAAAAGTAAGAGAAAGTAAACGTGAAAAGAGAGCAGCCGTCAGAAAAACGAAGGAGAAAATTTGCAAGAAAAATGTAAAACAAAAATACAAACGGATATACAACCAGGTTTGTAAACGTTTATTAATGCCTACAAGCTAAATTTCAGTTTTTGAATTACATACTTATGTGAGTTGACATATGTTACAGATGAAGAGATACAAAGTAGAAATGGGTGTCTAGGTGACGCCATCGAGGAAGTGAGTGTCTAGGTGTATTATGCTTTTGTTTAAAATTTCAAGCATTCTTGATACATAGGTTTCAGAAGTTGGCTGATCCCACTGCATCCAGGTTAATTCCTCGTTGCGATGATAAACTTTTACATTCATATTAACGTCGAGAACAACTATCAAGAAGGTTGTGAGGTCATCTTCTGATCGAATGAATGCAATGCAATGATTTTGTATGATCATAGTCCAATCTGTACCTGGCAGTTCAATATTCTTGGAGTTTTCCTTTATACGCAAAAACAAACCGCTTTCCTTCGAATCATACATATTTCAATATATGTTATTCCAACGACAACGAAAATATGC